GGAGGAGGAGGAGGAGAGGTAGGCAGGGGGCAGGATAGCGTACCTTTCGTATTTTCTTCTTGGAACGGATACCGCCGCGCGCCATTGCGGCAGAAGGAGATAGAAATAGGAAGGAAGGGGTGAAGAGATAGGTAGATAGACGGAAGAGAGACAGAATAGGGCTTTTTCTCGACGATTTTTTAATTACTCGCTCGCAATCTCGCGTCTCCACCCGACGTAAATGCCATTTCGCGAGAACGGCCGGCAGACAATTGGCGAGAGAGACGACGAGAGGCCGGAGATGCCAGCAGGACGATCCAGGATTTATGTTATCCCGGGAGAAGGACTCGCGGGACGCAAGCACGTGTCGGAGAAACTGGATTGGCAGAAAAGGGGAGAGGGACGTGAAGGTCGTTTCGACCCGATATGGAGGAGGTGGAGGAGGCAGCGACGAAGACCTCTTTCGGGGCTTCGCGAATTCTCACCTCGCTCGGATTCTCGTCTTAATCCTGGCACCTTCACGAGAGCCGCGCATATAGGTGTGCGAATGTTCGCATGATAAATGAAATAATGAAACTCCGCGTCTCTCTCATATCCTCTTCTCCTCTTCTCTCTTCTTTCTCTCTATAGCTGTCGGCGGCTCCGCGCGTTCGAGTTCCGCGTAATTAATAGCAGGAAATGCGACAAAGTGTGTTCGTTATGGCAGCGCCATTTCTAATTTCGCTGTAGTGTAAAACACAGCATTAATTTCGCCCGCTTTATTATCCGTACTACTCGTTTTCACTTCGGCATGCCTGACGCAGATGCATGTGCGAACATTACGTAATTGGCTGGCGCGGACAGTGGAACCTCGCTGTTTACGTTGAATCCTCGGGAGAGACGTTTCATTTCATCTATTGAAAAAAGAAGGAAAAACACATCGAAGTGCTCGTTACAGAGATACGAGTCGTATTAATAATGAGCATACTCACCTGATTCGTCGCAAAGATACAGGATTTTTAGGGACGGATAAAGAAGTCACAAGAATTTATTATGATGAACGTTGGCTGACTTGAAAGTTTTAAGAGATTCGTGTAAAACAAGCTCATAATAGTCTTTCTCTCATTAATGATATATCTCGATGTCAGATTTTTATAGAAAGAAAATGGATCTAATGAAGACTTAGATGGCTTTAAAGTCAGCCAAGCGTCGATAGACCGACATCTTATCGTTTTTCATATCAACACGTTTATTCTGATTACGCTGAGGTGTGTATATATTTGTAGAGAGAGATCTATAATTATTGTAGATACACGTAGTATGGTCGTCGCAATTTCAATTTTCGACACGTTCGCGTTTCTCTCATCAGGCTCGCCAGATGGAATCTCACGAAACATTCGCACGCGCACACACGCGGACCGTGGATTTCACGGGAGAATGTACAAACGAGCGCACATACACACACATCCACACACGTCTGCACAGACACGAACACATACACACGCGCGTGCACGCAAACGTACGTTTCACTCACGTGCCAAGAGATTATGTACAATTCGCGTAACAGTCGTGCGATTCGCCGGCTCTTTGTCACAGTTTCAGTTATTCAAGTTATAGAAAAGATCGTGGTTCTCTGCTAACATCCACGGCACAAAGTGGAAGCCAAATATCAGTTAAACGCCAAATATTCCGACGGAATTACCACGTAAAACGACACTGCGATAAACAGCGATAAAAAGGCAGGAATTTCGGGGAAACGCGAGGTTGCGCGAATTTGTCAATTTAGCGATTTAAGTTCGTCGTCGTGATCGGAATTCGGCATTGGACCGGTAATTGCCTCGTTAAAACTGCTTGATCGACCGTTGATAACGACGACGACGACGAGCGGAGAATCGCGGAGAAAGTGCGTAGAGCACGAGTGCGTAACAAATTGCGACGTGAACGACGAGACGCGCAAGAGAGAATCCGAGACGACAAATTATTTTTCCCTGGCCGCACCACGCGATTATGCCATTCGCAGCATTAATCCGTTTCTACTTGGCGTGTCATTGTTATTAACGACCAATAAATTCGCGGTACATCGTTGCGGTGCGATTCGAATATCCGATATCGGATGGATCCGAAAGGGGTGAGTGAGAGAAACCGGGGGTTGGATGTCGGGATATATCGGTGTTGTGTGCGGGATGGATTACGGATGGCAGAAAGTCAGGATTGTGCGGCGGTTATCGCGGTGATAACCGCGCCGGGGCGCCGATGAATATTCCGCGGCAAAAAGACTTTTGACGCTTTTGGTGCTTTCGGGACAAGCTAATAGATTCGAGCGCACACACGACAGGGCGGCGGCGGCGACGGCAGCGTCGACGGCAGCGCTAGCTCCGTCTGCCACGAAGGCAGAAATTGACTTTCAGATTCGATAAGCCGGTGCAGATTTTCATGTAGGGGCTTCTTTTGAAACTGCCACACGGCCGCGCGCGCCTGGTCACCTTTAACCCCGAGGCTTCTCGCTGGCGGCGGGTGCATGCACGCCGCAATGCAGACCCGCTACAAAGCGCAGTAGAGGACTCTGTAGTGAAACGAAACGAGCGGAGCCTGTCCGAACGAGCCGGCGATTTAGCTTAGTCGGCCAGCCAGCCGACGGTCGCTTCTTATTCGCGAAATTTCGCGAGCGCTCCGCTTTTTTGCACAAGCGCTTCTCCCTCGCCCGGCGACCGCCCTTGCCATCGTTACCTTTGATCGATCGCGCGCGCGGAGCGCTTTGGCCGGGACACAGTGGACCTCCGCGACAGACAGAGGGGCGAATAATGAGCTAGTTGGAATTCATTCATCGAGAAAGAGCTGCGTGTCACGCGCGTCTGCGAACAAATCTCGCGTACTTTTAAACTACTCGAATACCGTAATGCACACACGTATTTGAAATGCAAGGCCACGCCGACGCTCGTATCAGCTTGTAATTGCTCATTGCGGCTGTTCATTTACTTTCACGTGAACGCGGGACTCGCGGGAGGAGGCGTGCAGGGATCGTCGCGCGGAAATTCGCGAGCGCGTGGCCCATCATCGTTTCTTTATTACCGTCAGAATTCTCCCGCAGTGGCGAAACGAACCGCATTCACACGTGCCCGCGCGGTATTTGACAGGAAACGTGGAATGTATTGTAGCATGCGAGAAGCGAGAATTCAGGAGGAGGAAGAGGCGGAGGAGTGCTGCCGTGAGGAGGAGAAGCCGAGTGCGATCGTTAACGGTGCGCGTGCTTAAAATACCTGCGAAACCGGAAGGACTTCGCCAATTGAACTTTTGTACACGTGTACGGCCGCGCGCCCGTATACCGGGCGATCTCATCACCCTTCGCGTACCGTGCATCGTACGTGGCACGTATGAAGTAAATCGTAACATTTGTCGAAAAAAGCGGACCTCGACTGCTCCGACACGAGAATCGCTAAAATTTCTCGTTGCTCTGTTCCCCTCTTTCTTTTTCCTCTCCTCATTTTTCTCAAAGCAATTACGTAGGAAGAGCGACCTCTTTGAATTTCACCGGGAACAATAGGGAGAATCTTAACTTGCAAATCTAAGAAAACGAAAAGTATTGTTTAATTATGATTGCAGAGAACCTGGAGAACGTAGTAATTACGTAGGGAAATTGTATCGTTATGCAATAGGAGACCGGAAGATAATATTTTATATTTAAGCACATCTCGCGAGAGAGTGGCACAATACGAAGGCAAAGAACAGTTCGGGTCGCGGCGTATATATCTATATATACATATAGTTAAGGTGCCCTTTTGTGAAACGCGGGAGGAAAATCGATCTTACGTGAATTCAATCGCCGAGTGCTGAAGGAATAATTTTCTTTTCTTCGTCCACTTCGATTTCGTTCGAGCGCCGCCGGACGTTCCCGTAAGAAAAAGAGAGAAACGTCTCGTTTCAACCCTTCTGTGAACTCTCGAGGAATCCTCTTATCGAAAAGATAACCGTGCGACATTCTTCTGGCTGTAGAACGGGAAGAAAAGCGCGACTTTAATGTCCGAAAATAACTCGGATAAATAAATTGCATCTCGATCTGTCGTTCTGTCTATCTGTCCATCCGTTCGTCCGTCAGTCTCTCCGTCGAAGACGCTCTCACGCGAGAAGCGAAATTACCTCGACGTTCGGTATTGTCGATCGCCGGAGAGATAAACGCGGTCGGATCAGCGCAAATAGTCGCTCCGCAACGAGATAATTCACGAGAGAAATTATGAGACGGCAAGAAAAGCGCGCACACACACTCGTACATGCACACATATATCTTTATTCTTTTTTATTATTTTGAATCCTGGAGCGCTTTTTCGGCCGCAGAGCTACCGCAATCGCACAATACGTACATATACGCGCACGCGCTTCACAGACACATTTCACGCACGCACACACAAACGCGCGCGCGCGCGCACACACGGTGAAAGATAGATTCGTATCTTCGTGCTCACACGCATGCACACAAGCGCAGGCACACGTGCATACACACATACGTACACGTACATATACATATCTTTATTTCTTTGTCTGACCATTAATCGCAATCCGATCGTTTAATTATACAGTTCCGCCCTTTAAATGGCCGCCCTCCTAATTGGGCGACCTGAGACTTCACGATATACGCGGAGGTATTGTATTACGCACACTCTGAAAAAATATCGGCGCTGTACATCGGAACATATATCTTACAAATTACGAAGGGGGCGTACACGAAGGAACGCTCGTCACGACTTCGTGCTCGTCGGCCGATGACGACGACGACGACGACGACGACGACGACGACGACGACGGTCGATAACGGATTACGTTGCACGTTGATAACGTTTGTATGAATTGAAATTGAGAAGAAAGAAACGGGTTGTAGCGCATCAAAAAACGAGGAGGCAATCTCGTCGCGATTAGAGGAGAAATTAAAGATACGACTCGCGCGACGTAATGATTCCGAAATTTCCGGGCAGTTCTACTTAAGGCAAAGAGAATTCGCGCGCTAGGATCATTATCCTCGTCCTTTTTCGCGTGTACCGCGCCGGTACGGTATCGCTCGACACGTTTCCCTGATAGAACGTACCTCGTAATGCCTTTAACGGACCCGTCGATAACGATCCTTCGTGCCTGTTCCGTCGTCCCTCGAAGAAGACGTAGGGGGTTTAACCTCGGGCATCTCTCGCAAATAAAGTCTCTCTCTTTTCTCTTGATGTCCTTATATACAAAGTATTTACACTGTCTCTGCTGCGCGTAAACGCTACGAAGACCAATATATATATATACATATATATATATGTGTGTGTGTATGGGAGTGTGAGTGAGTGTATGTGTGTGTATGTATGTATATATATTTCTCTCTCTCTTTCTTTTTCACTCACTCTCTCTAAGATGTACTCGCGTGTACATTTGTACGGTGCACAACGTACGGCGACGCGTGAAAGGTACTACTACTTCTCCGATCACTCTTCGTTATTTCTCGACGAACTTAATGAAAATGAATGCGACATGGCAGTCGTACGGGAGTTGTGCGCGTTTTGGCAGTCCCGGGACACAGGTTTATCCTGAGGATTTCGTCGTAAAATAACGCACGTCACGTCAGTCTGTTTCGTAAAGGGACCGGCGGAGAGCGAAGATAAATCGGCCGCTAAACGATGAATTATATCGCGTTTAGTGTCGCGCGACCCGATGTGGATTGAAGTCGCGGAGACCCCACGCCTGCGAGATCCGCATCCGTAAAATTATTATCGCCGTTATTGGAGTAAATCACCCTCTCTGCCGGAGAGATGCGCGCTGGGCGCATTTTCGATCCCGCCTCGGGCGTTTCCTCTCTAATGATTTAATGATGCGCGCGATTGCAAGCACGAACCTGCCTCGCGTTGGCGATGCAAAAGTCGATAACCGATAATAAAGAAAGAAAAAGAGACAGTGTTATTCAAACTGCTTATTGCCGATATTACGAGAGAAAAGAAAATAAAGGAAGAGCTTAAGCTTCAATTAAGTTTCGAGGAACACCGCGCGATGTAACTCGTATCGTTCGCGGGCCGTTTTTAATTTAACGACGCTGCAACGTTATTGTCTTTATTCACGGTGCGCGAATGGCGATTCCGTCGCAAACTGTCCTCCGATCGAACTCAACGCAAAGTTAATTACGGGGATAACACGTGGTTGCTCGCCGCTGGTAAACGATGCGCAGTGTACAAGGTACGTTTGTTTAATTAATATACATATCTTTAAGGAGTGCAGAGCACTCTCTCTCTCTCTCTCTCTCTCTCTCTCTCTCATTCACTTACCCTCAATCAACGCACACGGTAATTTCGATAATTAATCTAGATTTATTCGGTGTCCTCGCGCACGAGGAATAGTCACTATTTACAACGTCCTCGCACGCGTAACCGAGCATCGGTGTACGTCAGGTATTCATCTTGTAGGAAAGTCTCCGTGCGCGTCGCGTCGCAGCGCAACGCAGCGCGCGCGAAAAACACGCCAACGCAGGGCAACGCTCTCCGGCGAAAAACACGTCAACGCAGGGCCACGCTGCCCGACGAAAAACATGCCAACGCAGGGCAACGCTCCCCGGTGCGTTCGCGCGCGCGCGCGCGCGTCAGATAGGAAAAGCCGTATAAATAGACTAGAGAGATGTAAAACGATTGGAAGGGTAACGAACGGCCTCGGTCGGTCCGCGCGGGAGAAGATCGATAGTCTCCGCTTATTTTATAGTCGGCAAATTTACTTCCGCCTCTCGTAAGTTGTCGCGCGTTGCGATACCACCTCCGCTCCTAAATAAGTCGGGTTAAACGTCGATACGCCCAAGTTTAATTAATCAGCTTACACCGAGACGCGACACGCTTCAAGTTTTAACTTACATTCGCGGAAGAATTTCCACGTGTTGCGCGAAAGCCACCCCGCAATTACACGCGGAGAAGATCGATGGATCGATCGTTTGTTAAACGCCAGCGCGACTAGCTGATTAATTATTAGTTTTTTGATAATTAATCGTGCACGATGCTGCGCGAGAAACAGGTCTGTCCCGTGAATCGTAAACCGGACGTGGCTCGAAAACGCAAAACGAAGAAATGACTAGCACGGTTAACGTCTCCAACAACGACGCATCGAGGAGATGTTCGCGTTGAGATTCTCGCGGCGCGTCACCCCGGTGTTTGATGCGTCGCACTTGTTCCGCGCGTCGCAGTGACTGCCGCAGCGGGCGGAAATATTTGGAGGATCTTCGCGGAACAAGGGTCGACCTCCTCCATGCGCGGATCCACCTCTCGCTCTTCTCGCTCGCGAAATTGATCGTTGCACTTGATGCGACGTAATCGACACGATACGATACTCTCGCGTATGCATATCGCCGATAAAGACGCGCTATTCTACGAAAATACACTCAACGCGACGATCTCCCACTATTCTCGGTACCTACTTTGTAATACAAAGTGTACTCCCGGGATAGAAAATCTACGTTCGCCGTCGCGACGTAGTCACATCGATCTTGCCGTTTTCTGCGCGCGCTACGAACATTCTCGAAATGTAGGAAACCTACATTTTTAGGCGTGTTCCTTTCCGGCCCATCGACCATTCAGTCAATCGACGGGATCCCTCACGAGCGAATATATTCGCGGAGTCTTGGACGATATTCTCTCTCTCTCTCTCTCTCTCTCTCTCTCTCTCTCTCTCTCTCTCTCCCTCTCGTGAATCAGAACGATTATGCGGCCACGAGGGTGGTGTTCTCGCGCTCGAGAAAATTCGTTTCGCAATTCTGTGACGCTCTCAGTCGATGGCGCGTTACGACGTGTGTGCTGTATGTGTGTATATGATCAAGATACTTTTTACCGCGATATATAAAAAGAATTTCATGAATTTTTGGCGAAATTCAAAAACCTCTTCTTCTCTGCAAAGCTCTCGGTTAAGATCGATCTGTTCGTTCTCTGTTCGAGTGTGCTCCTCCGCCGCGCACTTTCGCGGTATCTTGTCTCTTACCTGGGGTTTTCATCTCCGCATGACAAAGTGCATCCTGTCGTCGTAAATTCGAGACACAATGGAACGCCGAATCGAACGAACGCGCTCGTTGTGTGCATGGCAGTCGATATTGGAATCGTTATCTCTCGGTAGGTATTCTTTAAAATTATGATTCCCTCAGTCTTGAATTTTCATAAATCACCGACTATACTGACAAGATCGCGAAAGAGCAAGATTTTTGAGTTGTATCCGCGTCCGTACATGTCTTTGTTGTCCTTTCGTTACGTATATCTTCGGAATCCTTGAGCGAAGTGCGATCATTCTCCGCGTCGTGTTCAGAACCGTCGTCCGACTCACGATCGGATCGCTTGTTCGCGCCGAACACGGGTCACACACCGTTGTCCCTAAACGGGACAGTAGTAACAGTAGCAGCACCAGTTTCATCCTCGACGAAAGTCCACGTGTCTCTCTTTCCGACGCGAGCCACGTCGCTCGACACTCGCGCGTATCCGGGGACGAAACTCGTGACATTCATCTGTTCAGACGTATCCTTCTTAGAGAACGTGAGGACGTTACTATGAACTCCATAATGGTAGCAGTAAGTCCCATGAATCCGTCGTTACTTTTAGGACGCGCACGATCGCCACGAGGCGGCCATATCAGACGTAGTACTCGTTGACGTTGAGCGCGTCAGAGTCGCGTCCCTATACACAACTCTCCTGGGTCGAGATGAGGGGCGTACGAACGGTGACGACCTCTCTCGCTGGGTGGTGCTGCTTGCCGCCGCTCATAGTGGAGACGGTCGAGTCCTGGAGCACGCTCGCCGTCGACAGAGGAGTCGCCGCGCACGACGGCACGTTGGAAACGTCCACCTTGGCCGGCCTCGCGTTGTGGTCGATGCACGCGTATACCGTTGCCTCTTTCGCGTACGGCTTGCCGCCCACTATCACCCCCAAACCGCTCCCGTAGCCTTGAAGACCACCCAAACCGCCGACTCCGCCAAGGCTCGCCAGTTTGGCGTCGGTCGCTAGGGTCGACAGAGTGGTGGGCCTCGCCAGGCATAGTTCCGCGTATGTCACCTCGCCAGATAGCTGGAAGAAGGAAAAGTAGGGCACGGTACACAAGGACCGTTCGCGGTAACGTTAGCTAGAAAAGATCTTCCACAAAGGGAGGGAAGGGTGTTAGCTGCCCAGGACGCTGAAAGAGTTAAATCTCAAAGAAATCCGTGTGCACACACGATGAAGGCGAGACTCTCTCTCTCTCTCTCTCTCTCTTTCCTCTGTCATCTTCTTTCTCACGAGGGCTGTAATGACATAAGATTGTTTATTGCGGAACGGTGATTATCGGCAGGTCCTAACAGAGACGTAATTACGTAGAAATTTCTGGAGTATTTGACATCGTATTAGCATCAGCGGTATAACACGAGCAACAGGCTCTTGCTGATAATGTGAAGTCATTAAGCCTTTCACGAGAAGGGGGATCTCTAATAGCGTGAGTGGATGTTGGGGAACGTGCGCGCGCAGCTGCGAGAACTCCTTTCTGTCTGACTCTAGCCGAACGAGGTTCATTGAATCGTACGATGATCGCTGAGTCCTACATGAGCCTCGAATCCGATTACGGACTGAGCGCGTGTATTGTTTCGATCGATGAAATCGGTCATGTATTACGCAACAAGTCCGTTCGGATGTCTAATGACACGTGGGGAACAGGAGATTAAGCTAATTTCGATACATTAGCGTGTTGAGTTATAGATATGTGCGTGCGGAGACATGTTTGTGCGAGTGTGTGTGTGTGTCAGTGCATGGGTGCGCTCGCGCGCAGCGTAATCCTCCAAAGTAAATGCAAACCAGTTTACATACATGCATACGCGTGCGCGCGCGAGCCCGGCCGGCATTTAAATAATCCGCTAGAAGCCGAGAGACGCGACCAACTTCTCTAAGATAGGACCGAGGCACATTTCTAAGAAAGTGCCAGAGGTAGTTTTCGCGGGACGTCGGGGGTGGCAGGGGAAGGGAGCGCGTTTTCTCTCTAGTCCCCGGGACTTAGATAATACGGACAGGTCTAACTTTCGGAATTTTCACTCCTGAATATTCCTGAGGGACCGATCGTCCGGGACTAGTTGGCTCGTATCACGGAAACTTTTGACGGGGCGCGAGTTCCTTCGACTGTTTAGGACGAAGACGACGGTCCTCGAGTGCCCGCGCGCCATTTCCTATAAATTGGACGCAAAACAGCACGGAGAATGTTCTCTCGCGACGTGAGGAACGACTCGGACCGGAGTCGGCCGATGATTCACCGGCTCTTTTCTCTCGAGACAGACTAACGAGAGAGACGAGAAACGCGAATCTTCCGTGGATTCTCTTCATAGACACGAAAAGAACGAAACTCTCGGCTATATCTTCTTAAGCTACTTATATTTTTCCTCCTCATTCTCCTCTTCCCCCCCTCTCTCTCTCTCTGCTTTCCCCTCCGTCTCCCCTCTCTTTGCTATCCTCTTCCTCTCGCTCCCTTTTTCGCTTCCCTCTCTCCCCTTCTTCTGTCCCCTACTTAACTTTCTCCCTCACTCTCTCCTCCCTCTCCCTCTCCTCCCTCTCTCTCCCTTTCCTCCTTGTCCCTTCCTTTCTCTTCCCATCCCCTTTATCCCTCTCTTTCTAGCATACTTTTCCCGCGTTCTAGTCAAACTTTGCTAAACTCCAACGAATCTTCGACGAGTATCTCGGTATCGTGAGGAATTCTAAGAGCCGGCGTCCGCCGCCACGGACTCTCGATTCTGAAAGAATTCACTAAATCCAACGGAAGAGAATCGGTACAATGAGAAATTGCAAAAATAAGAAAGAGAGAAAGGGAGGCAGAGAAAGTGAGAGAGAGAGAAAGAACGCAACAATTAACTGTGCCGCGGGTAAATGGAATAGGAAAATCCTTAGCGATAATCAAAGTTTTCTACTCTGCAGTTTTGTTCTTGCCGAGGTTTCGTTAACGGAACTTTGGATCCCAACAGTAATTAGTAATTAATTTGGTGTGAAATTGAGGGTGAAGTTTCAGTGGCTCATGACGCAAGGAGCTCGAGAGTACCGGGGAAAATCTCAAACGGGCTACCTCGCGCGGAGGGTGGTAAAAAAAGCACGAGAGGGAGACGTACGCGCATTTCGTGTGTCGATCGTGGTTGGGCATTGGGCGAGGAGCAATTTTCTGTGCAGCGGGGTGCAATCGCGACGTAGCGCAGTAGCGTGTATGTTAACGTTAGAATCTCAACCTTGGAATGTCTTTCAAAATCGGGAGAAAAGACGTGGACAGCGCAATTTTCTACTTTCCAACTGCGAAGCGAAAGCGTTGTTTTCCGGTTGAAACTTTACGCAATGCGCGCGGCGACGGCTGCCGCTACCATCCCTCTCAGATGGATACTGTTATTTCAAACTACACCGCTCGAGGTCTTTCTTGAAAACGTTAGCCCCCGAGCGTCTCTTGCGGATCTCGAAAGGAAAAGGGAACGATGCGACAGTAACAACGGGGTCGCGCGATTCGGCCGAGGTTGCTGCTGCTGCCGTTGCCTCGCTTCCGTTTCTTTGCACTCCGCTTGCTCAGTTTCCCATCACATTGGATGAACCTATTAACTATATTAAAACGTGCTCCCACTTACGCTCGTTGGACTAACGAAATTCCCGTGATTTAAACCATTGACTTTAATTGTTTGAATTCCTCTTTGCTGCGAACGGCAACGTACGGCATTCACTTACGTTTCGTGAAATCAGAGCGCACCCATTTACATGTAATGGCTGTGCCACAGACTGTGTGCATGTGTGTGTATACATGCTACGAGTGCACCGAGTGTGGGACAACAAAGTATAATTTAACAAGGAACCTAAAGGGAATTGTTGGTTTGTCGGAGAATTGCCTTTTGCGTGTACGCGACGATTATTTGTCCCTAAAGTATTTCGCACAACACACTATTCAGTTCCCGCGCGTTACATAAATATAAAGGCATCGCTTAACCAACAATCTCTGTTAGCTTCCATTAATATCAACACGAAAACAGAAATCAATGAAACTAAGAAGGAGGAGGGCGTATCAGGTGGCGGCGGGACCTGCGTCTCCTTTTCGTTCCGGAGAGAGAAAAATATCGAAAGCGCGGTTTGCTAGGCCGGGAACCGAACCCGGATCTTTCGCTTGCCGGGCGACTGCTCTAAACCACTGAATTACACGCTCCACGCTCACGACACTCTCCTCTCTCCAGATAACGTTCAGAGATGCTGTTCGGAAGCGACATCTCAACAGAAATCAGAATAAAACTAAGGAATAATCACGTGCAACAATTTATTAAAAATAATTACATGTACAATGAAATTACGTACAGAGAAAACATAGAGAAAACGTGGCGCAAAATTGACAGAAGAGAGAAAGAGTGGCTAAAGTAGTACGAGTCAACGTTTGGCCGGCCGCTCGTTCTCTCCGCCGCGGTCGGAGCCGGGGATATTAATAAATTTCATTAGCGGAATCTCCGCTCTCGCGGTACTCACCGGCAAGGTCGGGTAATTGGTGTAGTCGTTATGCGAATAGGCGGGAAGTCCTTGCAGATGATTGTTCGTCTGTTGGGTCGGAAGGGACGACGGCGGAAGACCGTCCGGTGTGTTTTGCGTCGCTAACGGTGTGCCGGACGTTGACCCGGTCAGCTGGTAATCTGAATCTTTGGTTCCATGCACGTGAAACATCTCTGTCTATCTTTCTCCCCGAAATAGCGCAACGGTAGCTATTCGGAAAGCTCGTGCCCGCACTGAGAGAAAAATATAGTTGCTTTCGGCGTCAACTATACTCTTTTGTGATTTTAACCATAAAAATAGTTAGGAAGACTATTGTTTTAGTAAGTGTTATTAGAAAGATGGTTCTTTTAATTACTTTTCTGGTTAAGATTACAAAAATGTATAGTTGACGCCAAAAGCAACTATATTTTTCTCTCAATGCGCTTCTTCGCGAGAATGTTCTTTTTCTGATTGTGACATCAATTATGGAAAGAAGCTTATTTCGTGAGCACAAGCCTTTCGAACGGCGCGCTAAAACAAGAAGAGGACGCGAGAAATATTCATTTCATGTGCAATTTATCAAGCGTCACGCCGCGCACTCTTTCGCTTTTGGAGATTCTGTAATATTCATCGGGAGAAAACCACGACGTTCGTGCCGCAAATACTTATTTATGTTATTAAACCGATCTAGTCATTCATATGTCGAGCTGACGCGTTGAATTTTATTAAATCAATAACGACAAGGCATTACGAATGTAATACGGATAACATGTAATATGGATAACGTCGCTCGATCGGGCGGGGGTGTTGATGCGATATGTTGATTAAATAATAATTCACGATTGAAACCATATAGTTACGGTCGTGATTAAATAATGAACTATATAATAAGTAACGCAGTGCTTGCACAGAGAATATTATTTATTAACTTAACACTCCATACTTCCCCCTCATTTATTAATCGATTCGTTTTATGTTTTTTTTTTTTATTTAGATATGAACAGATTGCACGTTCGATAATTCGCAAGAAAATGACGTTCGCGATTTCTTGTCGTCGATTTCCGGATTACAAATGGCAAAGGTCTCTCGGCGCGATTCTGTTGGCGCGACCATTCGAACGTTACGTATCGGATACGCATGGGATTCGCGATGGTTAGCCCGATGAACAAGTCCTGGTAATCGGCCGAGTAATTTATTAACAAGTGGCGGGGGGTTAAGTTCTCCATACGTCGGCCATCCCTGCGCCCGGCCCGATAACTATTCACGTCGTCCAACGATCCGCCGACGGTATTATTGCGAGCGATGTAATGACGCATAGCATAGCGGAGCGTTTGCGCGATGCCGTTAACGAATCGCGCGGCTGCGCTCGCAATAGAGTCCGCTGAATTTCCGCTCTCGAGTACACTCGCCCGACCGAGTGTACTCGATCGCTGTCAATCAGGTATTACGCTTGAAAGCCGGCGGCGGTAGCGGCCAATGTAGCTGATAATAAAATTTCCACATCGAGCCGATCGTCACGCGGTCTTGGAATCGCGACGTTAACCCTGTCAGTCTCTCCTACCCGCCTTTCCTCCTTTTTCTTTCCTGTGCGTAAATGAAGCGCGCTCTTGTTCGAACGCTCGCCTTGAACATAGTTCCGATTATCGGTGATTTTTATCGCGATGTCGCGGCACGGACGATAGTTTTCCGCTGAAAAATCGGAAAATCGACAGAGACGCGCGCGCGTCGAGACTCCCTCCGGCCTAGAAGGGTCCACTAATACGTACTTGATCTTTTGTAATTATAATCGCATAGTGAAAGATCTATTGTTGAAAGAATCATTTCTTGCAGTAAATGTCACTATAGTGTACCAACTTGAATACCACATAGAAAAATAATTACTATAAATTATTATATAAAAAAAGAGATATTTTTTTATAAAATTTTTTAAATGAACATTTATAATGAAGTCCAATGTTAGCGATAATAACCTCGTATGAATGTCACTACTACCATCTTACTACAGAAAAAGAAAGTTGGGACCAAAAATTACTATAATTTTAGTTCGATCAATCATTTCTTTTCTCAGTGCAAAACATACGCAATACCTCAGTCATTTATCTAACTTAACTAACCTCCCGTATCTCTCGATTATTTTCGCCAAAAGCATTTTTTTTTTTTGAGTGTACGGAATTTATTTCTGCGCGACTGCGCCGTAACTTCGCATCGTCGCAAGTTGGAGTGGCGTATGTTCACGCTGCGCGCTCGTCCTTGTAGGACGCGCAGCGCGTCAGTTAAAAATTTTCAGGGCGAGCACGCGCGCGCGCGCGTGCGAGTATGTCGATCGACATATCGAGCGCGACGTGTGCGCACTCGCCAGAGTTATTCGTATAGTGGCGACGTTGCGTTACCGTACAATTTACGCGGTCAAATAATTTCGTACATTGTCCGAATTTTACCAACCGTGCGCTTTGCAGTCGGATATGTTATGCCGTATGTCCGATGGAGTTTTCGACTCTTTTTTTTTTGTTTTATTTATTCATTTACGCATTTCCCGGTCGGTTTGAAGTCCGGCGCGCTCGTCGAACGACACGAACGCGTTGAACGACCGGACGGTAAAAACCACGGGAGTGACATGGTCGAAACGGGATTTTATTCGGCGCGACCGTCTAATTTTTCCGCGGAACATTCCCTTTGAACATTGACGTGTGCGTTCCTCCGTTTATCTTTTTTTATTTCGCTTCTCTTTATTCTTCACCATCAACTAACGTTCTCCTCTGTGCTCACGCGTGCGCGCGCAAAAAAAGAAATCGGTTTTGGCGAGAACGCACCTTTGTTGGTTGGTACAACGTCCGGATTCCTGTCGTCCGCGTCGTAAAGCTCCTCGGAACTCGGCGCGGTGGCCTTCTTCAGAGGTAAATCTCCGGGCCTTTGAGCTCGCCTCTCGCTCCGCATTTTCAGCGCGGCCAAAATGGTGACGGTGACAAGCAGCAGGGCGGTCACGACGCCGATCAGCAGACCCCCGAGCAGCGGGGTGAACTCGAACGGTACCGGGGTACCTGTGAACAAAACGCGCACTGCTCTCGTGCAAGCACGTCGATGCAAGGTTCGTTGTTGAGCGTCATTTGCCGCGAAATATTTTCCTGTGCCGAGCCGAGAAATGTCGGTCGAAGTGAAATCGCGCGGCGGTGTTGGCGATAATCGACGTTGCGCGAAGACATAATCGTGTGTACCGGGCCAGCCTGTGACGTCTCTATCGTGGCGCGCGCGAAAGCAGCAGCTGCGCGCTCCCGCTACGAGGGAGAGACACGACGGCGAAATTTTCCGAGCGGACTGCGAGGGTAAACGGGTTAAACGAGTTAAAGTCGCATTACGTCGTAAAAAGATTCGAGATATTTGGCTTGCGCGCGAGAATGGAGCCATCTGACTACCGGGGCCATTTCTAAGATTAATGAATTCGAATCCTTTTGATATCTCTCCACGTTAAACACCGTCCCGGGCGACGTTTAATTTTCCGCGCGGCCGTCTCTTCTCGGTCGCACTCGCGCTCCCGCGTCGCTCGCTTGCTCGCTATCGTTTCGCCGTCCTCGTTTTTTAATCTCTTTCCTTAGCCCGGGCCCCTCCTGAGAGACATCGCTCGTAATTGCCACTCGTTTTAGTCACGAGCGACCGAGTGTTTTTACTTCGTGCTCCGATGCACAGCCAAAGTGTACGTTAATTTTTAATCAAGGCGAAAGTGCACCGGTGCTCATGATATTCACCTGCCACCTCCACCTTTCTTCGTCACCTCTGCTTTTTAAACTATCCTTTTACACTAGTCTATTTTTTTTAGTGACGCTCTTTTTCGTTCGACGTCCTGTTCGTTCATTCTGTCTTTGTCTCTTTCTCTCTCTCTGTCTCCCTCCTTTCTTTCCCCATTGCAAAATTAGTACGATCCCCCAAATCTCTCTCCACGTCTGATTTGTCCACGGTGGTGCGTAGAATGAAAACGTAAAGTTATTTGTCTCGATTATGAGAATATACGTTCCAAGTTGCGAACCAGGTAAATCGCGAGAAACTGCGAGATGAAGAAGTTGTCGATCTTATCGAGTCCCAAGACCGCGATCGTCTTCTTCTTCTTCCTCGATAATGTGGTAGATCACAAAGATCCGCGGAAAAAAATGATAATTGGATAACTGGAACAGCGTGTGTTCATTCGCGGCGCGATCACTCATCGTTGATTTTTTCCCACGTGGAAATCGGCCGCTGGATTCGAAAAAGCTCGACTTGATTAAATCGTTATTTTTAATTCGCAGGACGTGTTTTATACCCAGCGTCGCGCTGCTCTCTCTCTCTCTCTCTCTCTCTCTCTTTCTCTCTCTCTCTCTTTCTCTCTCTCCCTTCCATTTTTTCGCTCTCTGGATATTTGACTCCGCGCGATGATGATCGTTTTACAAAATCATACTCGACTACTTACAAAACAATATCGTATTACGCCGAGTATCGATAATATTGCATACATATAGAACAAATTATGTTTTGTCTCGCATCAAACCGTGTTTATTTTCCGCGACACAGGAGAGAACTTTTAATGCGCACTCGTGCTGACAATATTTATCGAATTGCACGCGCGACGCGCAGCGCGAGTATAGCTGCGTATAACCAGAAGTACCTTCGCATCGTATTGCGCAAAATTCAGCGCTCGAACGCGCTCTCTTGGTTCGGATTTTTCCCTCTCTCTCTCTCTCTCTCTCTCTCTCCCTCTCTTTCTCACTCTACCCCCTCACCATTTCTCCCTTTCCCTCTCTGTTCTCCGCTGCCGAATCGATCGAATTAAAAACGGGAGCTTTAATTCGAATTCTTCGTGTGTGTACACTCTCGGCTCTTCGATATTTATACGTTTGACTCGTAAGAGAAAAAGCAGAAGAGAGTCATTCGCGGCCCGTTCGTAGTCTCGAGTCATCTCACACACACACATGCACTCGTAGTCTTCTCACACACACACACACATGCACACACGCATATATACACAATTACATCTACACGTCCGCTACGTATAATTTGCGTTTCACGCTGCCACGGTAGCGTATCGGGCTCGCCGAGGGATGACGAGCCGAGATTTTAGGAGTACGTCCTCCTGTCGCGCTTCAGTTAGCATAGCCGCGCGCACGAGGTCGCGGGTCGTCCGTGGGATCGAAGCGGAGGACGCTCTCCTCTCTCTTCCGCGCTTTCTGTAGCGCGCGCGTTTCGCTCTCTCAGCCCGCCCGAACGAGCTTCGAGGTGAGACGAGGTGCACGATGGTGCACAGACGACGTAGTAGGTGGTCCGGGAATTTTATTAAAGTTTCACACTCGTCGAGCTCTCCTGCTCCCTCCTCCTCCTCTCTCTCTCTCTCTCTCTCTCTCTCTCTCTCTCTCTCTCGTTCTCTCGCGTTCTCTCGCGACGAGAGGGGATCGATTTTCGAAGCGACTACTTCGCCCGCATACGTATGCCGGTTTATACACCCCCGCGCGCGGGGGCAAAGCGTGTACATATACATATACGTAGTGCGCGCGGTGGCTGCACTCGCCTGAATCGCGCCGTGGAAACTGACCGAGAGAGCAATTTCACTTGTAAATTCGTCCTGGCCCGATATATGTATATATATACACACGCATACACATACGTACATACGTATACAGGTATATTCGCGAGCACGTGAGTGTACGCGAGTGGATATGTCGGTGTGCATGTACGCCCGGGTAGGTAGGTCGGTATATCCGTTCCGAGGTGGATCCCGAATCTCTCCTGGTCGGTGGAGATCCTACCCGGCTAGAAATCTACGGGATGAGCGCGTAGGAAAGGGATAGATTCGACGAGATCTATCCTCCTCCCGGGCATCTGCGGACCGCCAGGACTCTCAACCGCTCGGTAATTCCGCCGTCCGGTCTGCGTTTCTTCTTATGTGCGTTCGTGGCGGGATTCATTTCGTTGTTTCCGTTCCAACAACATACGCGGCCAGAAGAGGTTTTATCGCGAGTCTCTCAACACGAACAAGACACGAAGGTGCAGAAATTTTCACAATGAAGACTTGTGAAGAGGGAGGTGACGGCGATAAGGAGTCGCACGATCGCCATGAGTCTATATCAATCTTCGACGTTTTTACAGGTGGTCGTATCGTGTTCTCTCCGGCTGCGTATTAGCGGAGCTGTGCGCACAACGTTATATTGCTCGCGGAAACCGAGAGAGTTTCGCGTCTCGCTCGTAGATCTTTCCCGCTTTCGTAATTACAGGTGGACGGCGGGATTAATTCTCGTAATTACTCGCGATATACCTGTCTCTGACTGGCGCTTTGCAAATATTTCCTTCTCCGGCGGGATGAAATTTCTCTCCGTTCTTCGCAAGACACGGAGCTTCCTACCGTTCATTCGTTCGTCTTTGCCTTCTCCCTTACCACCTACGTCTCTCTGTCTCTTTCTCCTTTCTTCTCTATATTCGCCATAGTCCACGGTGGGACATCGGATCGAGAAAATAAGCCGGGGCACCGGTTAAACGAGCCACGTCGACGTTCGTATTTTTCGAGGAGCAGGTCCCGAACCGGGGAAAAATCTGGTGGCCGTAGCGTTTTACGCATCGCCGGAACCACAGCGCAATTTTTGGCCGGAACCGTTTCGTGTAAGTGGATTGGAAAACGTCGGAATAGATTACTACTCGCGGCCGTTCTGTTCCGTAGAACAATCACCCACATCTACTCGTACACTCGCACTCGCATGTACACACACACACACACACTCATTTTCTCTCTCTCATGTGTGACCTGGACACCAACCTGCGTAATATCGGCCGCAGGTGAGCGCGTGCCTACGTGGATATGCACTAGTGTGCTTCCGCGTATACGTATGTGTGACGGCGATTGAATTTCTAGACCCAGATGCTCAATTTTCGCGGTGAAACCTTTCGTATGGTCCAAGTGCTCTTTAGCCGCGAGAAACGATGAGGCGGTATATCGGATTCGTCGGGGATTCCCAGTCGGATGAGCGGATTAAAACGTTACACGGACAATCCGCGCAGGTCCGTTCGATTTAATTCGCTAATTCGATTAACCCGGCGTCCCGGCTGCTCTCATAATTTATGGCTCGACGTTTGCGCCGATAGTTTGCGAGCGCACGGCCCGCTATCAAATTACTTATTTCGACCATTCGCGAATGCGATCGATCGGTCAGAAGCGCGCGCAAGGACAGCGAGACCGGTCACATCAGCCCAGATGTTGTCGATCATCGTTACGCTCCGCAGTCGAGAACGCTCGACCATGAATTTGTGCGACGTCGTTTGTATTTCGCTACAATCGAGAAGGAAACAGATTAGTATATTTATTTGGCTTGGTATAAACCACTCACAGTACTATTACAATACAGAAAGATCAATAAAAAATAAAATTAATTTTTATGATAAAATTAGATTTAATGTAGATAATAAAATTAGATTTTATGTTGAAAAATATATTACTTCAATCGTCTTTGAATTGAAGAATCTCCTGAATGTCTCAGTTTAGGAAAGAGACGGAAAGAGAGAGGGAAAGAGAGAATTCTTTCGACGGATAGTCGCAACGATGATCGTATCGCGAGTTTCGAGATTTTCCTACGTTTTGTTGTAATATTTCGCAAAAGTTCACGTCGTGAAAGTTGGCACAGAGTCGATCGACGTAGCCCGTCGCGTTATTTCCGCGAATGTCTCACCACGCAAATCCGAACCCGAAGCGCAATGTTTCTGGCACAACTTACCAGTCTGCTTCTCAGCGACTTTGAGCGTGAAACCCTCCAACAGCGTGGTGTCGCTCCTACCCTTGGCGTTCACCGCGTACAGTCTCATATCCAGGACCTTGCCGGGCTCGAGACCCTGCACGGTGAAAGCCGCGTTCTCCCTGGATGTGACGTTGGCCTGCAGGACCTTCGTGTGCTGATCGAACACTTCAAGGAGGAAGTGTTGGGGCTGACCACCGTCAAAACCAGCGGTGCATTCCACCGAGAGTGATTCGGTGGTCTGGTTGGTCAGCGTGCAGTTGTACGGAGCTTCCGGTTTGCCTGCACGCGCCATTAACATTGTTTACAATCTCTTCCTGATCCATCCTCTATCTCTTACGGCGCCCGTACATGCCGTACGAAAATTATTCGCGAGATACTGATTTAGAGCGCGACGCGCGGACAACGCGTATGCGCCAACGTTCCGGCGTTAGTGTCAGCGTTAAAGTTAACGTTAGCGCGAGACGACACCCTCGTTGGCATGCATTCCCATATACGCATGCACACACACGCACAATCGCGGCGGAACGCTTCCGTAACTTTTCCCGGAAATCCTTAGCGACTCACAGAGAGAGAGCCACCCAACCGGGTATTACTCCGCCGGAGTACGCGAATTGTTGCGCGCGTGCGAGTACGCGTTTGTACATACCTGCAGGAATGATGTGAAATATGCAGGCATTCTTCTGTTGGCCAGCCGTGTTGCTCGCCCAGCAGAGCACGGTGCCGTAGTCCATTTCCGTGACCGGCCGGTATGTGAGGACGCTCTGGGTGTGTCTGGTCGAGTTCTTGTAGCGCGCCTGCGGCACGTCGACCATCTCCTCGGTATTGTTAAAGGCCCAACGGAAACTTTCCGGTGGTGGATACGCCTCGACCCGGCATATCACGCGAGCGTCTTCGTGCCTCGCTACTCCGTAAATCCGCTTCTGCTCCGGCACGCAGATCGGTTTGTCTGCGGAAATAATAAGCAAAGGAAAAAAAATCAAGATAAAATTGCAAAAATTACTTCCTTTATATACAATTATATAGTGTGTAAAAAAGGTCGGGATCTCAGAATATCTCAGGTCTCAGGGATCTCGGGGATCCTATTAAAGAAATTGAAGGTAACCCTTGAATCCTGGCGACACCATCCAAGATCAAACTGAGGCAATCAATAAATAGATCTTTTTAAACTCTACAACTTTTATATTTGAAGCATTTTTTTATAAAACTTATATTTTCGCGATATTTCAAGGCCCCACTTTATACATCTTGCGTATAGTTAGCTACCTATCTAATTAATTTTTGTCGCATCGACTTCTGATATCGTTAGAATATTAGAATAGAATTATAGGTACATGGATATGTAAAATCAAATTTATATTTCATACTTTTTACGGTTTTCGAAGTTTTAAAGGCGGTTTATTTTGAAAAGAGATCTCGTCGTATGATTGATAGATATCATATTTATGTCACTTAAATATAAAATAATTTTCTCTGGCTTTTAATGAATTTGTGCCTGAAGAGGTTAATTAAAAGGCGAGCTATGTGTGCGTTAGAACGTTACATTGAGCGAATTGCGTCTCAGGAAGGAACACGCGCGGCCGTCATATTTCCGTCGAAACAGGAGGTGCTCGTGGAAAATTCTCCCAAATAAATTCACTGTGCATTCTCTCTCTCTCTCTCTCTCTTTACGTTCTCATGTCGTTTGTCGAGCGCGACACCCCCGCGCGTGCGTTGGCACGCGGGATACCGCTTAAATCGCGAATTTCAACGTCAGAGTGAAATATCGAGAAAGAAGAAGGCCAGTTGACGCGTGTCATCAGGCAGGCGCACACGCGCACACCCGGCATATCCGAGTTAATTAATAATAAACGTTCACGCTCGCCCGTGCGCTCGTTCGCGACATGCAGAAAATAAGCCATGAGAATCGGCGCCGTCGCGAATAAAAAAAGGAGCCTGCAGTTGATTTTTGCGTAGCACGCATTCGCACAAATCGGCATGCAGAGATCGGAAACCGGAGGAGTTTACGTGCATTTATTAAAAGTGCGAGAGGGTATGGCGCGGCATGAAGTAGAATGACCACCGGCCGGCCGACCGGCCGGCCGGCCAGCCGGCTTTCCGAGGGAAGATCGATGGGCATTATTCGCTCGCTCGCTTGAATAGTTTTCCCATTTTTCGCGGCGGAGTGGGTAAACGAAGGCCGAGCCCAGGGGTTTGGGGGAATCGGAGTTCGCCGGTTTGGAATAATTTGTTGGTTCGCCGTGGATCGTCCTATTTTTCTTCCGCTACCCTCCCTCCAGCCCGCGCGCTGCGCCATGTCCCGCTCGACGTCGCGCCCAACCCTTTGCCCTTTCAACGTGTTTTTAATGAATAATCATGCCGACATTTTGATATTCGACGTTTATTCACGAATAATATCTCCTCGAAGCCGGGTTGTAAGCCGGGCGACCAATTACCGGGCCCACGGCTGGAGACCACGGCGCGATTCTCAAAAGCCACCTCGAAGACGCTTGATACAACGTCGCTGTTTAAATGTCGCTCATCGGTCACGCCGCGTTTACGTCGTATTATGTTGAAATATTCGCGACGTTGAACGCCACTTTGAGGAGCGAAATAATTGCAGGGATCCGGCTCGGAAGACAGGGTAATCGAGGTTGGCTCTGCAGAGAGCGGGTGAAGAGGCGAGCGGCATTATTTTCCGCGAAGGAGGTCGCGAACGGCCACCGAACAGTAAAAGAGTTTACGCGAACCGGCTCGTCTGTTGAGCCAAGCTTCTTCTTCCCCCGTTCATCGTTCGCCCCGACGAATACACACTAAGTCACGTCGGTGGCGCGTCTCGACGAAACGCCCGAGGCATTTTATCGTGACGATCTCTTCGTCGCCGTTGAGACACTTACACATGATCTTGAGCTCCACAATGTTGCTGTAGCCGTCACCCTCGACGTTGCTGGCGACGCAAGTGTAATTTCCGGCCTGCGACCGATTTACCTCTCGTAGGGCCAGCCCGTATTGCTGGACTATCACGCCGTTCTTTGCGTTATTCTGAATCACGTTCCCCTGAAACAACGTTCCGCGCGATTAGACAGGTGCACTCTTATTCTGCGCTTTTCTATAACGTGCGCCTTATTCTCTCTTTCTTTTGCACTCTCTCCCTCTCTCTTTCGTTACTTCTATGTACTAGTCTATATGATAATGTATGTTCTCTCGTAATCGTAGAAAATACGTAAATTTCACGCCAACCTATTCGCGTATTCGTAATCTCCCTGATGGAACGATTATCGAGTCCCTCAGGAGAAAGGGACGTGAAGACGACGCACGAGAGCGACACGATCGCGGTCGACACGAGCACAGAGCGTTCTGCAACGTGCGATTAAAATTCACATTCGATGTACTGGACATGACTGCCTGATAGGTGGCTTTCGTTCAACGCCGTGCACCGGGTTTTACTTAATTAAATGGGGTTTTATTAATATCGAGTTAATTAACTGCCACGCCAACGATATCGCTGTAAAGTCGGACATTCCGCATATTTACACAAAGCATTTACGGACGCTGCGCCATAATAACGCAGTGTATTAAACAATGCATAATGACGTCGGTAGGTAGGTAGATAGATAGGACACGAAACGCGAATAAACGCCTGGTCGTCAGTAGAGGCGACGCGTAATAAGACCTACGAACACGAGCGCTCTGGACGGAAAAGCCTCGTCGACGAGGCGAAGGAATATCACGCGTACTTTCAAAAGTCCCCTGGTAGAAAAATTTTCAGGAAAAACTGGTCACTAGTCAGAAACGGGCTAGTCTTTGTTAGTTAGAATTTGTTAGACAATAACTGTTCAAAAACTGGACAGGGAAATACCGGTCAATGTTTCTTGACCAGTTGAACTAGAAGAAAGAAGTCGCTTCTTCTATTTGGGTTACTTTCGAAAATTGAGTCCACGTGCTCGCGTTACACGCGATGAGCAGAGCCGTCGTGTTCTCGGGCGTCGTTCTTTCAGCGCATAAAATGCAAATTTAATTAAAAGACGAGCTGATCTCTCACACGAAAGCGAATCTGGGGATTACGTTAGAAGGTGAGTTATCTCGCGCGATTTTCTTACGTTTGCGAGAACGGACGGGTTGCTGCTGTTGCTGTTGCTCAGTTCGCAAGTTGGGATAATATTTAGGGAAACAGCGGCACGCGCGCGAGGCGCGCGGAAAGTTTGTTTCCTATTTGTCGGTTTCGACCTGCAATGGCCATTACTCGGCAGGAGAAGCGCGAGTTTCGCGCGAGCATAGTCGAAACTATCCGCGCGAATATATATCAACCGAGAAAATCCAGGGGGCCATTGTTCAAATTCACAAGCCTGAGCTTTCGCCCGGATTCGGATATGCACATTTTTGCCAGCGAATCCATTCGTTACGCAAAGTTTCGCCTCGTCGACCGGTGTCGGCTCGTTTTCCGCGACAGCGTGTTGCTCGCGTCGCTCGACACTCACTCCGGTGTACACGCGCACGTATAGGAAATGAATGCGTTTCCGGAGCAGTTTCTCGCCGCTTCGGGTTATCCGCGTGACGATCTCGTGCGATACTCACGTTGTGCTTCCACACGACCTTGTAGGCATCTGGGTTAGCGTGAACCTGGCACTCGAAGTACACGTCATCGCCCTCCTCGATGTCGTCCGGATTCATGTTGGTGCCGAGCTGCAGGTGCAAGATCGGCACGACTGTAAACGAGAAAAGGCGCAGCGTTGCGTGCGGTTATTTGCCTCGTCATGTTCCACAGAAGGCCTTTCTCGCCGCCGACGCGGCTGAATAAATCGAGCCGCCGCGCCGCGGACGTTCCATTTTGGCCCCCGTCGTTGACGTCTCGTTATTGTGATTACATTCGCGTTTGCGCGGGCGTAATCTATATCGACGGCCTTGTTTCGGCCTGCCAGGCTTTTAACCCGTTTACCACGCTCGATATACACACGGACGCATACGAGCGCGTATGCCGGCGCGCGCGGCACGGCACGACACGACACGGCACGGCTACGTGCGTGTGTATGCGCCGACACGTGCAACGCGCGCGCGTTGACGTATGCCGCGCACGCGGATTTTCCGATGTGTCGATTGCGCGAAAGCTGACACACGCGCGACGCGCGCTTATGAGTTAAAGCTTGACGAATTAGCGTCAATTCGTTTTTGCGCGACCGAACGGATGCTCGTCGGGTACGCGCTTTTGTTACGTGAGAATCTAAAGCTGGGCTTGAGAGAGGAAGCCCTTCACCGCGGTTATTCGCGGATCATGGGACGCCGCGAGCGGAATGGGCATTTGGCGAATCTGGCGAGTCCAGTATTGAAACTGACGATATCTAATCTATCTCTGGTGGAAATGATGAAAATTATTTGCCGAAAGAGTCCCTCTCAAATTTCAACTTTTGATTACATATTAACCTCTACGAATTACGCGAAACTCGAACTAAAACTTTGCGTCTGCTTTTGAAACTTTAATTTTTATATTTTTCCAACTCATGCTCGCGGAGTCTGATGAAATAACGCGACCTATTAGCGGAAAATAGCGGTCAGGGGAAAAAGAAACACGGGAAATCTCTCGGGATTTACAGCGAGCGTTCAAGTGAAACTTTCGCCGGGATAAGGAAGGGACGTTCGCAGTGCGAGCACGATTTTACGTTCGACGGGCTCGTTTACTTTCGCAGTCTCTGATATCGCGCAACACGCGGTGGAGGGAATAGAAATAAAAGATACGAGTGGCTATTCGCCGTTTATCATACGCATAGAAACATCCTTTACTCGTTTTTTATCGTGTAGCCAGCATAAAAGACGTGAAACGGTCGGTTGCACGTTATCGTCGCATAAATATTCGTTGGATCGAGCGGCGTTTCGACCGCGCGCGCGTGCGCGTACAATATTGACGGCGACGCGTTAATGAATAATAATATTACGGATAATGATAATGCCGGGACGGATCCGCGCTTACACGTCATTACTAGTGTGTAAATACACGGTCTACCTCAACCTCGTAATCTGATATCGTCGTCCTCATTTCGATTTTTCGCACGCATCCAGCAGCGGTTTGCGATCTCGCATAATCTCTCGAACACGATATCTCGCGAAACAATATCGCGATATCGTATCAGCGAAAGAAGCACGCGAGTAACGATCGCAAGCGTTCAATTTGCACGATGTCCGACTCGTGTATAAAATCGCGATCATATTTATCGGCTACTTACAGAAAACGTTAAGCTTCCACGTGTCTTCGGCCGTGCCGCGTTGTACCATGGGATTCTCGGCTCTGCATGTGATAACTTTGTCATGATGCAGCAGAGTCGGCTGAATTGCCAAGGTGGAACTCGTCATGTTGCCATCTTGCGACACCTGCAACACAGTCGAGCGCGATATCGCGCTTTAGCGATTATTAAGTCACGATTAACGGCGAATAAATATATTCTGCGTGCGCGCACGTAATTTTCAGCGCGAGAGCTTACCGGAATTACATTCGACATATTAATTTTGTATTATATTTGATTTTTCTTTATCAGTGATGTCTCTCTCTCTCTCTCTCTCTCTCTCTCTCTCTCTCGGATGTTTCTTTCGCTATCTCTCTTTCGTATATGCGCGGGTACCGCAAATTTATATAAAATTACTGCCTCATAGTCGATATTAAAATTATAATTACACGTTACATATATTTTAATGTGCCTATATATTCCGCGTCGATCAATTGTTTTATCGTATATATACATATGCACGCGCATATATATATATATATATATATATATATATATATATATATAGTTTTTATTTTTTTCGTTATATTCCTCGCAGTATCCATATTAAAGTGCGTATCGCGGGCGAATAATTGAATCATTCTCGCCACATTATTGACTATACTTAACCAGAAAATACTATATCCCTTAATCGTAACACAGCGGTAAAACGTACAGTCCAAAAACGACAGATGTATCCTATTATCAGTTGCTGTCTCTCACCCTTCCCTCTCTTGCGCGAGATCAACATTTCCACAGTTATTATTCCGTTCGTATCGCTACTCGCTATTAATTCGCGAGTGTTTCATTAAAGTTCCGTTGCTGGAGAATATTAACCCCCGGGCGCATCGCGCGCTCGCGCACTACGCTAACGTTAACGCCAACGTTATATGCGCGGGGGATTTCATACCAGGCAGCTCTTAAAAGAACTGATTATGGCGAAAGATCGTCACGATTAAGCTGAGATTATAGTAATTATAGTAGATTATAGTAATTAAGTTAAACTATTGCGGGAGCTTCGTTTCGCGCTTCTGAATCACATTTTTCAACGACTTTTGCGCGGCTTTCGTCGAAAGCGTCTAGCCTTGGACACTCGGTAGGGTGGTTTTGCCGTTGCCGCTGGTGGTGGTAAGAGCCACGGAATAATTATCCGACTCGTGTGCGAGGTGGCGCGGCTGTGAGCTAAGGGCGTATCGGGCCGGGGAAGGGCAGCTGGGAGAAGAGGAGGAGGAGGGCTTATAAGCCAAGCGTTAATCCGGCGATAAGTCTTAATGACCGGACGAGTCAGTCCAGGAGGCGTTTATCATCTACCTTTGCAGGTGGTGTAATAGGATTCGGCTTTCACGTGAGTGCTTCACCCTGCTCGCGAGTGCAACGGGCAACTTTAATGCGCACGAAACCGCGCCGCGATTCTGTTCTGTATTTACGCAAATGCACTGCTGTCAAGAGAGAGAGAGAGAGAGAGAGAGAGAGAGAGAGAGAAAGAGTTGGTTGGGTTGTCTGAGAAAACATGTAATTATCAAACGTGCTCGTACACACAACTACTCCTCCTCGTTCGAGCGCGTTTTTGATGCACTCGCATACATTTGCGTATGCGCGCCGGTACCATTAAAAATATTAAAATCATAAACATTCACAGATTCTCCGAAGAGCGTGACAAGCGCGTGTCGTGTGCATTTTTGAAAAAGAGACATGCACGGTACTTGCAACATTTTTCGCCTGGGAGCGGACACAGTAGCTTGTTAATTTTGTAATTCAGATGATGAGTATTTTGCGAATTGATAGTCGAAAATGCTTCCGAGCGGAAAAGCGCGAAAGACGAATCCATCGGCGGAGACTTTGGCCGGCCGAGGAACATGGGACCAGGGGCCAGCTATTACGATGATATTTTTTAGATAAGATATCGCCGATACTCTCGGCTGACAGATTGTTGGCGAAAAGCTCGAAACTTTTGGCTGGTGGTGTACGTGGTAGAGCGCGGACCGGCAGAACCCAGAACGAAATTGGCTCGAAATTCGCGCGGCGGTCATAAATCGGCGAAGTCGAATCACCCGTTGCCAACTATACTGTCCACAATCCACCCTTTCTCTCTCTTCCGCGCGACCCCTCGTGGTCCCGTCTCTCACGTCCCTTCGCCCCTTGCTGCCTTCCACCGTCGGTCTCTCGCGCGTCCCACCCTCATCCCCCGTTTGCCATGCCTCGATATGTCTCTACATGTACGAACTTCATTCGACACCGCGATATTATGACGTATAACGCGAGATAGCGCGAACGCGTCAGAACTGCTGCGCGCCGAACTGGCTGCCTGGGTCTGTCCGGTTCTCCCGGCACCTACCAACAACAACGTGATCGTTATTTGCGGCGGAAAATATCAGCTCTTTGAATCTCCGACACACTAGCGCGGATCATCGTCGATCATGGCCGCGTGAGACCGATCGAGCCGGCGGATCGTTATTGCAAAATGTACGCGCGCGCACGCCGAGTGCAACCGGACCCTCGTAGCAGTGCACGGTCATTTTTCATCCGACAAGTTTTACTGCATCTCGATTATGCACGGAAATAGCCAGCGAGAGAGAGAGAGAGAGAAAGAGCCACAGAATCGCGGCTATGTGAAATTTCTACGAATGGAAATTGCGCGCGCCCACTTTGTCGTTTTTGCTTTTATCTCTTTTTATTGCTGTTTATTGCGAATTTCCGCGAACGGGCGATCCGCCTTAGCGGATCTATCCAGCAACTCTCTCTTTCTCTTCTTGCCTTCCTCTCCCTTTCTCTTTCTCTCTCTTCCACTCTTCCACTCTCCCATCCTTCCTCATTTTCTCCGCTCTCTGTCTTTCTTCTTCCATCCTTTTCTTTTTCTTTCCTTCCCTCCTTTTTTTCTATTTCTTCTTCTCTCCCTCCTTCTCTCTCCTTCCTTCCGTTCCGTCCCTTTCCTCCCCTCCCTCATTCTCTCTCTTCTTTCTTCTCTCTAGTTCTTTTTTGTCCTCTCTCGATGCTCGGATCTATCATGAAATTATCGACAAGTCGTCACCAGATGACGGATGATATCTGTGTCTGTTCATAGTTACCCGCTTACTACACGTGGCTATGTTAGGAGGGGTAACTTTATCCTGCTCTTGGTTCGAGTAGGTTTCTGCGGTATTAGTTGTGTTGAATTCATATCGATCATCGTTCGATTAATTAAAGCGGCAAAAGAGAGAGAGAGAGAGAGAGAGAGAGAGAGAGAGAGAGAGAGAGAGAGAGAGAGAGAAAGGGGGAGGATAGGGATAGAAACGGAAAGAGTGGGAGGGCAGTAAGAGAAGGGGTAGAGTAGGAAATAAAATAGAAGAAGAGAAAGAAAGAGAACGTCGTATACACCGAGATTCGAAATGCAATTTGGGGGCGGTGGGTCAAAGAATCACGTTTCAGGAAGAGTTTGCCGCGGAAACGAGCAAGACGGGCGTAGATCGATGGTACGCCGGAGTTGGAGTACGTAACAGGAGTTTCCTCGTCGGCCAGATCAAAGAACGTGAGGGAGGAGGGAGGAGGTCGAAGGGGCGCAGCACGCGAGACGGAGACGAGGCGTTGGCGGGCCCCTGCGAACAGAGAGAGAGCGAGAGATCACGAAAGCATCGCCTCTATTCGGTAATTGCGCCATAGCGTGTCAGAGGGGGAGCTTAATGGCAACGATGCAAATACCGATACCGACGCTAATACCAGTGATTTCGCGGTGAACGTTCGAAGGTAGGAGAGCGCAGAGCGCCGCGTGTCTCGGGCGAATCTTTTTTCGGGGGTAGGTGGGCCTTGCCTCGACCTGCGGCGCGGTCCGAGTTAACCTGTTCACGTGGAAACGACTGTTTTTCTCCTCATCGGCGGCCGCGTGCGCGTTTCCGGATCTTTTGTGGACGAACACGCGCGATCCGGGACGCGACGTGTTCTCACCGGCGTTAAATCATTTTGCAGCGGCAGGTTGGCGTGACTCGACTCTGGGCCGGGGGTAAAAGAACGGTTCCGCCGCCGAATAAGAATTTCGTACGTACGAGATGTACGCGCGAGATAGAGTCCGGAACGCGAAACGAGGGAAGATCGGTGTAGCGTAACGCGATGACGACGAGGAGGAGGAGGAGGAGGAGGAGAAGGAGGAGGCGATAATGGAGATCGATCGTCTCGCGTTACATTGATGATGCGGTTAACGTGGTTGTTAGACAGCGCGAGAACGGAGGCGAATTTTATTTCGTGAGCGATCCGCGCCTCGACGCGAGAAGGCACAGCGGGAAATTATTTTCGCGCAGGTGCGCATCGATTGTGTTCGGCTTTTCCTCTGCCTCTGTGTCAAGCCGGCAACTTTGCTCGCTTGCGAGACACCACCGTTCCGTCAATCCAATTCGGCGTGCACATATCGGGTATCGTGTTTGCCGCACTTGAAACCGATCGCGCGAAACCAGAGCGGCAATGGGGGAGCGGTCGTGGCGAAAATCGAAAAGAAAGAGAAAAATGGTACCGACTTTTTTCGATTAGTGAACTCTTCAAAGCGCTGCGGGGAGACCAATTATTTTCACTCCCGAGAGAATTCAACTCTCCTTGATGGAGAATCGTCCTCGCGAAAATCACTTTCGATCGCGTCGTTAGTCTCAGATATTGTCACTTACCTTCTCTGTGTGATTAGTCAGCTTGTTACCATCCATGTACCAGGACAGCTTGGCCGGCGGCCTCGAGCCGACCGTCATGCAGTTGATGTCGTACTTGCGATTCGCGCTGAGGGGTGCGTGCTCGCTGCTGAGTATCGTCACGCTCAGCGGTCTCACTGGAACACAAAAAGAGAGGGCGGGATCGTAAGGGTGAATTTCTTGTAATGGGGGGTCGCGGTTGCAGCGATATCTGACCGACGGACCGACGCGTTGATGACGGCCGGTCAAAAAGCACGAACAAGAATTGCGGCAGATGCGGAATTGCGACGCTTAGAGTGGCCGCGGACTTGCGCCACGGCGCCTCGTCCTGCTCGTCTGTCTGTCCGTCCGTCCGTCCGTCCGTCTGTGCGTCTGTTTGTCCGTCTGTCCGCGCTCGCTAATGCGTTTTAAACGAGTGGTACCGCTACAGTTACCATCCCAAACGTATTGCCGCAAAACCTACATCCTGATAGCTTCGGAGGCAGAGGGTGAGGGCGCGAGGCCATGCTCGGACGCTGCCGCGCTTCTCGCAGATTAAGGCTGGTCGGTCGCTCGACGGGGACTGTACGCGCGTGTGGCGTTTCGCGTTGATTAATTGAGGGTGATATTGAATAGTGCGAACGAAATGGAGTCGAGCATCAATCTTTAGTCTAATCTCGGACTATTCGCAGACTAATCGCGGTTAATCGTAATTATCATCACGCGATAACTACGCCACCCGATCGTCGCGTCACCCTCGTTATCGTTGTATTAACGATCCCTGGTTTGGTGGTTTGAGTCTCGAAAGAAAGGGGCAAGCGTTAAGCCAACGTGGGAATACAAGTCTTAATGGAGTCGATCGTGCGAAAATCTCACGGACGAGGTGAGCTTCGGCAGACGTTAAATTGCTCAGGTCGTGAGCGAATCGCGATTTAAACGATAGTGTTGGCATCTCGTCGATGATGACGTCGATGTCGAGAGTGAAAGTGCCGATATATTAGTCGATCGTCTCCACCACAAAATAAATCCCGGCGTTCCGTCGAATTTAGCCGGCAACGAGTCGGCAAAGGAATCTTCGGTCTTTCTTCGTCGGCGAAAAAGTACGAGAGCGACGAGTACGAGGGGTGGCTCTCGCGCGTGCGATGAAGAGCCCGCTCAAAGGTGGAGGGAGAGAAAGAGCAGGTAAAAACGGCTGCTAGAGGCCAGAGGCAGAGGAGAGATTTTTCATTCAAGCCGCACCACGCCCACGGAGTCTGGAATTAAACTTTCAGTACGCCGAACTTTTGACTCCAATGAAAAATTTTCCGCTCTTCCTTCCTTCCTTCCTTCCTGCATGTCTGCTTGCTGCCCAGGTTGCTGCCTTTCGCCTTGCGCGTTCACCATTACCTTCACCTTCGTCTACCTTAATCTACCAGCGGTAGTCTCCACCGCCGCACTTCATTGTGCGTTCAATCGGCATTGGCACTAAAAGCACGATTACCAGCGTAAGCCGGCATTCGCTTCACTTTACTTCACCTCGTCTTACTTTGATTGGGCCACGTCTCTCTCTCTCTCTCTGTACAATCGCGTTGCATATTCGCATCACGCGATCCTGCGTTCGCACGGTAAACGCGCGCCGACGTAATTCCTTCTTAAACACTATTCAATATTCCGACTCTTGACTCCGCCGCAATATCGTTGAACGTGATTCGCTAGGAACTCTTTGAACGCGTTTCACGATCCTTACCTCCCCATCTAAAGTTATTTTTTTTTTCTATTATGGAGCAAAAAGAACAAGAGTGTGAAATAGAAAGGGAAGACAGAGAGAATGGGAGAAGAGGAGGGAGGAAGATAAAGAACGAAAGGGGGGGAGAGAGAGTCGATTGCATTTTCGATTTTTACCGATCTCAAACAATAGCGTTTTCTCTTTTCACGTTCTGTTGCCGCAAAGCAACGCTCGTTATACAATGCAGAGTTATTCGACTCCTTTTCCCTTTCTGTCGTGTTTATTATTTTGTTATTAGGAATAAAACAACGTGCACGTTTTTTGTTTCCTCGTCGTTACGTGAGTGGACTAGAGGAGACGTGACCGGGAGTAACATTCTTCTCACGTTGTATAAACGTTCGTCAGCTTTTTCGCGAGTTGTATTATATGTGTATATGTGTATATATTGTATGTATCTATTCGTGTATGGACGTATGTACGGCCGAACCGACAGACAGTCATGACGAATAGGGGTCGTGCGAAAAAGTGCGTTGGTGTCCATTAGATGACCGCCGAGTGGCCGTCGTGCATGCGAATGCATTCGCGGTCACACCGATGGTCTAATGGGTGTCTGATGGATGATGCGTTTTGCGCGAGCTGGATTTATATAAATCTTTCCCCCTCACGCGCAAATTTGACTTTCCTCATTTGTAGCGAGTTTCGCGATTAATAATACAATAGGCGCGTGCGCGCATCAACAACGCTCAAAAATATCTTTTTGTTTTATGATTCCTTTTTATGTTTCTTTTTTTCCTTTCGCGAGATAACATCCCTGTTCGCCCGTGAAGGATATCGGGAATTGTTTGTTCAATTCAATGATTTAACTCACAGAGTAATTATTTATACCGATTAACCGTGTCCCACGGATTTCACGTCAAATTGATGATTTTAATATCACGCGCATTCGCGGAATTTTATTTGGCGAATGCATTTTTCGAGCGCTTGGTTGCGTTTGGTTTCGAGCATAATGAGAACGCGCTTAATTGCTCCTCTATTAACGCATTGATCTCGCGCGCGCGTGTGTGTGTGTGTGTGTGTGTGTGTGCGTGTGCGCGCAGTGTTTTATTCTTAGCTGCGGAGAATTTGTCGCGGTGAACTATCTTGTCTTTGGGAAAACAGAGAAGATTTTCTGTGTGTATGTCGCATTCTACCTCATTAAATGAAATTTTAATTGCTGCTCGTTGAGGAAGAAAATGAACTATCGCAAGAAACCGATAATACAACGGCCAAGGCGTGTATCGGTAATAAAAGGGCGGGGATGGAGGATGGGGACGCGATTTACCCGATATTAGAGAATGTAATTGCGCTTCCGGCAATTACTATTTTCCTGCGATAAAAGTGGAAACGCGTTCGCGTGATACTATCGCGTATCGTATATGCAGTGCGACCATAGTTGCTTAGGCAGACGAACTGCGAATAACGCCAATAAAGAATATGAATGAGCGTCAAGTACGGCTATTCTTTCGGATCGCCGACGATCGACCGAAGGGATTCGATACGCTTCGGATAAAAGGAGAGAGAGGCGAGCAGGAATGCGCTGGAATAAAAACGATACTAACGAGATCGTGGTGCAAAAAGGGGTTAAAGAGGAAGGGTTGGAGAACGATAGTGAGAGAAAGAGAGAAGAGAGGGACGAGCGAGAGAAAGGGAGAAACGGATGAGTAAGTAACGAACGAGCGGACGAGGTTGAACTTATTGCTATCGCGAATTGAAAATACGTCCGTGCTTAATCCACCGGGGCTTACGGTCGCGTTTGCATATCCCGGCTGCCTACTTTCGCCGGATATCCCGCAGCTACCGTCGCTAGTTTTTGGCGAGTTCGCCACGCCATCGCCGCCAGAGCCGCCGGCGCCGGACCCACGTTCTGTGTTTATTCGTATTCGCTTTATTACGTTCCCCGGATTAATGCGAAGTTACAGACAAAAAGATTGTAGGTATTAAATGTGCCGGCGGCGCGCACGCACCGAAAAACAAAACTCGCGTATCCGGGCGAATAATGTTGCGTAGATGGAGTCGAAACGAAACGAGAAGCGTAATGCCGGGTAAAGCGACGATCTTCTCCTCTCCTTCTCTCTCCTCTTCTTCTCTTTACTCTTTTCTACTTCCCTCTGCTCTCCTTTGCTCTGCTCAACACCGCAACGCAGGACAAACACGGCGCTTTTTATCGTATCGCGAAAAATATAAAATATAATCCCCTTTTAATGCAAGTCGTGGCCTGACGACACAATGTGTTACCTCAGACAGGTAGCTATTCTAACGTGACACACTGTGAAAGATACACGAAAAAAATATTCGCGCTTAGCGCATCTTTCAGACTTCATCATTGAGTCGCACGGCGCTGACACAGCAAAGTGCCCGGAAATCGCTTTGCGATTTATATTTTTATTTATATTATTGTATATTTAAATGTGCAATTCTCCCTACGTGTCTTCCAGTGTTCGCGATATAGCGCGAAGAAATATCGCAGTTTGGAACGTAGATGACGAGGCAAAATTGCGTGGTAGAAATGGGCATTTTTCTTTTCGGCTAGAGAATATACAAGATGGGCGGAAATAGATTGAATTAATAAGAAATATTATTGTCGAAAACTTCTACCTTCTACAAAATAAGTAATATCAGATTATTAGGCCAAGTAATTTACGTGTCTCCCTGTACGAATAGAACAATTCAAAAGGACGTGTTCGGCGTCTTTTGAAACCTCCGATCAATTAGAGGCGTCACATGTGTATACACGGTCGATCTCACGCCCGTTCCTTCCTTCGCGCATTCACTTGACGCGAGACGCCACCGCGTCTCTTGATATTTCGTAAATAATTATAATTGATACCGAGGACGTCTGTCTCTCTCTCCCTGCTAATTTCTTGAACACATCGCGCGAGAAGGAGAAGGAGATAGAGAAGCTGTTACCGTTTTATTACGCAAAATTTATACGAACATCGCTCGACAGCGCCGTAGGGCGTAATTAGCGTCGAAGTTTGCGGAATCGCAATATTACATTGTGCACATCGGCGTTCTAATAAGTAACTCCCAGCAACGCGCCATGTAAATTTGTTGGCCGACTCTGGTACATTAGTAGTAACGGACGGCGGGGCCGCTAATGAGGAGGCGAGGCGGACTGGAGCGTGGACGCTGTTTGAATAGAGTGGAAGACGAAGTTAACTCGAACTGGGTGGATGAAGAGTCCGCGAAATAGCGGCAGCGCGAAGGGGACAGACGAAGGGGAGGAAGGCGGCGGAGGGTATGGAAGAAGAGAGAGAGTGAGAGCAGAGAGGAGAGGAGAGGGAGTCCGAGTCGGGCGGACAAATTAACGGCGACTCTGATTCTGTTTGCAAGGAATCGTGGCCATTGTCGAGCGAATCGCGGTGTAATTTCGATCGGCCGTCGAATTCGCCGCCACCCGAGCTCGTCTAAAAG